GCTAAAGTCTTCGGGATGTTCCCGTAAATTGTCTGAGTGAGTATGCTCTAGGGCCTCAGAGCACTTAAAGGCAGTGTCCGGGTACTGATACGGGGAGTTTTGAAGTGATGCGATTTTGGGGCCTAGACCAAGGCACCGTCGAAGCGACAGCACAAAAGATTCATGTACGATCACAATGTCGTCTCTGAAATTGTCCCAGTACCGTACCAGCGGATTGCATGCGGGGATCCACCGCCCTCGCAAAAGCATTTAAATGCAGTGGACAGGCAACATGGACTCTTCTCGGTTTTTGGTTGAGTTAAATATTAGACCTCCCAAGTAACCTTAGCCCAATCTTCACCCGCCAATTCATGCGCTATCCCGAAAAATGCGCTTTAAAACTCCACCAATGACGCCCATTCAAGAAGTGGGTGGGTCTGGTGGAGCTTTGCAGCGCATTTTTTAGGACTTAGCGGATGAATTATCAGGTAGGGTTTGAGCTACCTACGGTGTACTTGGGAGTCTACCACCTTACTCTGCCAAAATCCGAGAAGGATCCATTTTGCCTGTCCCCTGCCTTCAAGCCGATGCTAGTCCGTCAGGTACGGTATTGGATGGGTTTGTAGATGTAAGTTGGCCGTATCATTTGTGTTACCGCATGCACAGTTCTTAGTTAGGTTCCCACAGTAAGCCTCCACATGAAAGCTCTGCTCGTCAAATTTGCCTGGACGCTACCTTCAAATGCTAATGGATCGGCACAGTTGAAATACATATGCGTAGGTGCACGTATTTTGTTTACAGAAGTCAAATACGGGTATGCTTGGTGGTATGACCGGTGTTTCAACTGGCTCCTTGATGACTCCACAAAGAACGTTACCAGCACCACAGGCTGCTAGTGTTGTTATGGGTGGTGTGCCCAGTGTTCAGCTTGAAATCGGCGGGTAAGCCATTTGATCTTGTCACTTTGTGGATTTAAGCCATCTTTGAGCTTAATCCAGGTACCCTCGTCCTGACATTGACCAGATGATTCCTTTCAAGCCAAAAGCGAACAGCGCCGCATCATTTCATCCTGTTCCCGGTGGTAAGTTCCAATGTTAGCACAATGTCGTTTTGGTAGACCTGCGAATATTTTTTTTGCAGGCGTTTTCCCTCCTCCGCCAGCTATTGCGGAACTCATCTCCATGCTTCCCCCTCCATGGACATTCCAGGGACCTTTTGTTTCTGTAGATATGTTTATCGAGCACATCAGCAAAACACAATTAACCGTAGGTGAGGAAATCCGGGAGCTTTAGATTTCATAGATGATTGTGCAACCTTGACGCATCTCTCGCTTCACTTTCGCAGGTCCAATTATCGACAAAAAAGTGAAGGTGGAGAATGGAACCATGGTCGGGCCTATGAGAGTGGACGATGTTCGGAAGGAGATGTACCAATTACTTGCTACAACTCCTGATCCACGATTTGTAAGCATTATTCTCTTTTTTTTTTCAAAAGAGCGAGTGAGGATGTGAGACTAGTTTTTTGATTGCTTTCATCCAAAATCATATAATCTACTGTGTGGTAGAAGATAAGGCTTGTTTTAGATCAGAGATGAAAGCTCTTGAAAGCTTCACATTAAACGAGCACCAAAGTACGAGGCGCGGACCTCATTGCAGTAAAGAGCTGAAAACGCTTTCGCACTGCTATAAAGTGTTGAAAACTAAGATCAGTGTTGTAGGAACCGTACCGTAGGATCTGGCCAACCGGCTTTATAGGAAAGACTATGAAATTTTTTTCAGAGAGAGTGGTGATATCTTCTCAAAATCCATTTCAACCTATTTTCGCATTTTTGAGAGCTAAAAACTCATCTTCTTCTCTCAAAGTTGCGTTTTTCTCAGAATTTTGTCTAAACTTTGACCACACCACCATTGCTTTTACAATTACTCAACAAATTGCGTTCACAAGAATTAACGTGAATTTTCAAGCACTGGAAATTTTGAAATTATATTGTACACTTTTTGTATATGATGAATGTTCCATGTTATCATACATAAAGAAGTTATCTGGAAATCAGAAATAACAAAATATTTTGAAGATCATGAATTTGCAGAGCCAACCGATTAACGTGAACTTTTCTCAGATAGAAAGCGCAAAGAATCAAAACGAAACCAAAATCAGATTCTAGACTTTTTAACGACTTCAGCTACCGAAATTCAGATTTACTTTTCAGGTACTGCCGATCATTGTAAAATTCAAGCAGTCCTAAGGCAGGCACCATACTTGATCCGCTTGATCCGCTTCATCCACATCGCTATCGGTCAAATCGGCAAACTGACCAATGGCGAAGTGGATCAAG